GGGCTAGGATTTCCAATCCTATGCTGACTGCAAGTGACAAAAGCAGCATCCTTCTCTTGCTCCCAACCTGAAGGGAAAAGTTTTCACAGACTTTTAGCGTTCAGTGTGCAGATAGCTGTTGGGTTTCCATACCTGGTTTTTATCATGTTGAGGAAATTCGCTTGTATTCCTACTTTGTTGAATGTTTTTATCACAAAAGGGTGTTGAATTTTTTTCAGATGCTTTTCCTGTGTCAATGGAGAGGAGCGTGTTCTGCCCACCCCCATCATTTTGTTAATGTGGTGTGTTACACTGATTTTCATATGTTGGCCCATCCCTGGATTCCAACAATCAATCCCATTTTGCTTATGGTGTGTGATCATTTTAAGAGGCTACTGGATTCGGTTTGCTAGCTTTTTAGAGAATGATAAATGTTAATGAATATTCATAAAGGATATTGGTCTATAGCTTTCTTTTCTTGTATTGTCTTTGTCTGACTTTGGTATTAGGGTAATGCCAGCTTCATGGAATACAAAGTGTTTCCTCTTCGCTTTTTGGGAACACCTGAGAAGGAGTGGTGCTAACCATTTTTTACATATTTGATAGAATTCAACAAGAAAGTCATGTGGTCCAGAGCTTTTCTTTGTTGGAAAGTTTTTATTACTGATTCTATCCTCTTGCTAGTTATAGGAATATTCAAATTCCCTATTTCTTCCTGATTTAGTTTTAGTAGGTTATATTTCTAGGAATTTGTCCATTTCTATTGTTTAAGCCACCAGCCCGTGGTCCTTTGTTATAACAGCCCTCGCAAACTTATACAGTACAGGTTTTAAGGCCCTTCTAATGTTTTCCAAATTAAAAAATGTCTTTTCATTCTGTGAATTATATATTAGGAATGGATATCGTTATTTTAATTTTTTTCCTGTGGAAAAAAATACACAAAATTCACCCTGCCAACATTCCCAAGTGTACATTACAGTATTGTCAACACATGCACACTGTTATGCAACAGATTCTCAGGACTACACTGCATCCTGCAGAGCCAAAACCCTACACACGCTGAACAGCTCCCCGCCTCCTGTGCCCCCAGCCCTTGGCAACCTCCATTCTACTTTGTTTTTATGAGTTTGACTACTTTTGACACCTCATCTAAGTAGAATCATGCAATATTTGTCCTTTTGTGCCTGGCTGATTTCCCTTAGCATAATACTCTCATGGTACATGCCTATTGCAACAAATGACAGGATACCCTTTTTTTTAAGGCTGAATAATTATATATACACACACATATATATATACATACACACACACACACACACACATAAATATATCACATTTCTTTATCCTTTCATCTATCAACATACATTTAGGTTGTTTCCAACTCTTGGCTCTTGTGAATAATGCTTCAATGCATTTCCTGAAATGTTTTCCTGGTATTTAATGAGATTGAAAAAAAAATAGTTTTTATATTTATTAGTTAATGTAATAAATTACCTTTCTAAATTACTAAAATTTTAATATTTGTCACTCTACAGATTCATCTTGCCTAATTATGATTTGCATTGATATAAGCTCATGAATATTTAGTAGAGTTTTTAAATAAACCTTTAGGATGGGAGAATCTTCCTAAATACAGCTGGAAATTAATAAAGTGATTGATATATTTAACTATGTCAGGAGAAAACTGTAGTTTTATTGTTTTCTATATTCTCTTTGCTTATGTGTTAGAATGGTGCATATGATGTGGGGTTTTGTTTACTAATTTATTGGGGTGATACTGGTTGACACAATTACACTGGTTTCATGTGCACAATTCTACAAGTCATCTGTACACTGTATTGTGTTCACCACCCCAAGATAAGTCTCTGTCCATCGCCATTTCTTTCCTGTACCTTCCTCCACCTCCCCACTCTGCAGTCACCACACTGTTGTCCATGTGTATGAGTTTCTTCTCGTTTTTCATTTTTGCTCAATCCCTCCACCACCCCTACCAACCCCCCCGCCCCACACACACACACACCCAACAGGTGTCAGCCTGCTCTCTTTCTATGATTTGGTCTCTATTTTGTTAGTTCATTAGATTCCACATGAGTGAAACACATGGTACTTGTTTTTCTCTGAAGAATGATGCATATTATGATAATGAAATGAAAATTCCATAAACAATTTAAAAATATCTCCTGAGAAGTTCTATGTAATATGAACATTTAAGCAATATGCTGCCATCAACTTTCTCATCCGTAAAATGGGATAGGTAATGGCATCTTCCGTAGGAGTTGCTGTGAAAATACTTAGAAATAATGTATATAAAATGGTTATCATCATGTACACTGGAAAGTAATGCCCCATTCATTTTTCCACCAAAATGATCATAGGCTTATCATTTTTATTCTTGAAGTGTGCCATTTTCAAGATACATTCCATTGTTGCAAAGTGAATCATTTTATAGATTCCTCTAAGAGTTTGATGATCCCTTTGGAATACAATACCTCTCTCTCTCCACATATATCTCAAATAATACTGCACGAGACTTATCATGAAAATCTACCTTCTCCACCCTTTACTCAGACTCCCAAAAACCACTTCATTTTTCTGGCTGTGACCCTATTTCTACATGAGCTACTTATGCATCTTTTTCATTTTTCAGCTTTTAGTTTTTTCTCATCACTTTCTTCCCTGAAAAAAATTAGCATGTATTTCTCTTACATAATTTACTTTGCCCAGTATAATTATTTAAAGCATTTGGATAAATCAAAATTTAATGTCTATTGTCTTGTCACATAAATGTTTACCATTTCCAGAGAAGTACCATGTAGGATAATATGAATACATTTTCTTCCTAATTTTTTCTTTTGACCTTTGCAATGGTAAACTTCCCTTGTGTGTTCCTCTCAATTCATCACTGGTTCATCTCTCTCCACCAGGAATATAAAGATGCTTTCAGTATTCCCAGATGCGTGAGACAATTTACCAGCTTCAATTTTTCCTTGGTAACATTCCCCTTTGGTTTGAACATAGACATATGTATACATATGCACACTATCTGGAAGGGCAAAGGAGAAAAGAATGTTTATGTCAGGATAAAAGGACTGGGAGACAGGGTGAGAGTGAAGATATTTTACTGACTTTATACCCATCATTGAAGTATTCTTATATGTTTCTCTATGATGTAGTCCCTCTCCCCTGCAGCTATAGAATTACATCCCTCTCTATTGGTTTGGGACAGCAAGTTGTAGAGAAATTCGAATATATAATCCACTTTTAAAAAGAAATTAATAACAAAAACATGCACACCAAAATTAAAATCCTAAACATGTGCTTCTTGTTCTATTAGGATTTGTGAGGTTGTGTGAACGTGGTGAAAAAATTGAAGGAAATTTGTTACCTTTCCTGTACAGTAAAACCTGGATATAATGGAAGATATAACGGACTAATTCAGGTGTGTGGGTCTGTTAAAGCTGAAAGTCATTATATAATAAAATATGTTTTCCAAATGGATGTTAAAAAATTGACAAATTAGTTTACCTCTTTTTACTTATGTAGACACGTTTGTGTAATTAAAATCAAGTATGTATGAAAAGCTTAATTTCCCAGAAAATTTTCTATATGTATTACAATAATTTTAGTTTATAATGAATAGGTCTAATAAATGAGTGCATTCACTAGTCACTGAAAGTAAACAAATGCACACAGCGGAGGTGTGGCTTAGGGCAAGTGGGAACATCAGCCGGCAGGGTTAAAATGCTGCAGACAGTCACCCCATGCAACAGAACCAGGTACCATAGGTGATGCACTGTGGTCAAGTGCTAATCATTCGCCCAACATTGTTTATTAGCGGTGACTTGAATTTAATACGTAGACTAGAGCCATAGATATGTAATAATTTAATCATGTCAGCAAAATTTAACTAGTGTTTTTTTCCCAACATATGGCCTATTCATTAAAATTTGTTTAAAATAGTGAATAACCAAAAAAACAAAAAAGCAAAAAAAAACCTGTTAATTATAAGCCAATGTTGGTTAAAAGCATTTTACAATTAACAGGGTGCTGTCATATATGACATATGGACTGGATATTTTGTCCCTTAAATCTGAAGTCCCACCCTGGCCGGTTTGGCTCAATGGATAGAGCGTCAGCCTGCGGACTCAAGGGTCCCAGGTTCGATTCCAGTCAAGGGCATGTACCTTGGTTGCAGGCACATGCCCAGTGGGGAGTGTGCAGGAGGCAGCTGATCGATGTTTCTAACTCTCAAACCCTCTCCCTTCCTCTCTGTAAAACATCAATAAAATAAATATATTTTTTAAAAATCTGAAGTCCCTTAAATGGAGATTCCCAAAATCAAGGGTTTACTGTAAAGTCCAGGGATCCAGGAAAAGCCCCACCTTGGCCCGCCCCTAGAGCTTTCTTCCCACTGTTCAGCCCTCCTCACCTACTCCAGCCCCATCCCTGCCTCATCCCCACCCCTGGAATGGGTCTTGTCCACCGTCCTGCCCTTCTACTCCAGCCTCACCCTCAGGTCTGGTTCCCGCCCACAGCCTTAACCGGGAATCTGGTCCCCACCCATCACCCAGTCCTCTCCGCCGGGTACCACCTGCATCCCGGTCCCCTTCACAGCCCCACGGGCAAACTGGCCTCCACCCACGGCCACGCCCCCTGGTCCTGGTACCGCCCGCGGTCACGCCCCTGGCCCCTGGCGCCCCCACCCCTTGAACAGGTCCTCGCCCACAGCCACGCCCTCTGTGTCTGGCGTCTCCCTAAGGCTAGTTCTGACCCCAGAAACTAATCTCTGCTCACACACCGCCCATGGGTCTCTCCCGGCTCCCGCTCGCCTGGATCACCACCTCTGCCCCGAGCCCCCAAGATTCTCGCTCTCCGCGGTGGGCAGCCCGTGACCGGAAGCCCGT